CAGAGAAGAAGCTGAAAATGTTCAAATGTTAACGCACGACGAACGACGCACGACGCACGACGAACGACGACGGACGAAAACAGATAGCAATAGGTCACCTGAGTTTACTCAGGTGACCTAAAGATGGAGGGATCCTGAAGAATCAGGGAAATGTTTCAGCAATTCCCTATGAAATGTAACCTGACCCCTAACCTACCTCCTGGCCCACTGTCCTGCTCTTACCACTCCGTTGCCATGAATCAGGATCAGAAGTTTGTCTTTGTCGAGGGCATCCTCAGACATGTAGAAGAAAGAAGTGGGCTCATCAGGCTCCGCATCCACCTGTACACAACACAGAAAATACAGTAGGTAGAAGTAATCTGATTGTCAAAGGAATAATGGACAATGCTTAATATGCTCTCAACCGAAGATTGCTAAACAGTCATCTTTCACCAATTTTATATCATTTTTTCATACATAAAGATAGTGTGAAAATTTTAACTCAAAACCCCATTTATATTCATGCATTTGGTTGTCATACTCACTGGAATTGTGAATTTCTTTAGATTATGTTTGTCTTCTAGTAATTGATACACATATTCAGTTATTATCTGTAAAGTAAAACAAATCAAAATAAGTCAAATGACCTACACTCAATGATCTGTATCTCTTGACTTCACCATGCAAACTTATCATATTCCTTCTAGACCAAATCATTATAACAAGTGTACCAAAGTGCAACCTTTTATAATCATTTATCTTGCCATCTAATCATATCAAATTTGATATAGCAGCCAAAAAGACTAAAACTTAAGTCTATATAAAATATTTATGTTAATTAGTCTACTGCATTTATTTCTAAATAATATTCTTACATTGCCTAAAGCTTCATATCTCTTCTGGTTGAATTTATGATTGTCTTCATCCACTACAAATTTGAACGGCTCCTCTGTCTTCACATCTCTCAACTTTCCATCTGAAGAAAAATTAAAAGCTATATAGGGAGAAAAAGTTGATGATATCAAAATACATTTAAAACATACCATCATAGTTTACTAGTTACCTTACAATACTAATGTTGTATGTATATGAATGAAAACTGAATTTTACAGTAAATATTAGTAATTATTTCAAAATTATTTAACCTAGAATGCTTACAAACATTTAGTATTATTATTTGCAAAACATCTTACTATATAAAGGCACTACTTTTGTGTTCAGTAAAAACACACCTATAACAAAGTGCCAATGACGAACGATTTGCTTTGTTGTAGGCGTAATTTGCTATCTATTTTAAAGTCATGGGGAATTAATGAAAATCACTTTACTTTAAGTGTTAATTCATTATAACCATGTTTGCTATGAGCGTGTTTCAATGTACCTAAAAATTACCTTTGTTAAAGTAGTAGCCAAATTCCTCCAAAGTTTTGGGGAACTGATATTTTCCTATAAAATAAAATTGAACACTTCAAACATTACATCTTCTTAGTGGCTTTTGGTCACATACATCATTGATGGTTTCAGAAAAAGGTTTCAATTCTCAAAGATAAGAATCTACAAAAACTTTTACACGATGAAAAGAAAATTAAGCCCCCCTTCCACTCCAGTTGGTAGTAGGTAAATTTCTATGGCATACACTTTATACTGAATTCTTTATAAACTGATTTCAATTTAATATTTATGTACACTGACTTTATGCTCATAATAAAGTAAAACTGGCTTTCATCTACACTAAAAAATAAATTTCAAAAATCATAAAAATACTAAATCAAAATGCTTTCCTACCATCATCTTCTTTTGCGTCAGCCATCAGGAATGCCTTCAGCTGCAAATGGAGAAAAATAGATATTTCAATCGTCATATCTGTTTTTTCTTGATAGATTATTTTCATATTTTGAATATAACTATTATGAATCTGTGGAGCATTAATGAATTAATATTCACTCTCTCCCTTTGATAAAGTGCATATCTACTATCATTCCAGTACATGTAACAGTGTGTCACTTTGCTAGATTAAGCAGGATAATAAAAGTTGATTACTAAGCAACTGGATGTTTGATTTCAATGAAAGTGATTCGACTTTGCATATGAAATACATAACCCAACAATACCACTTACAATACTGACCAATCGTATTGATTGATGCATTCACGAGAATGCTGTAAACAATAACCGCTTGTGGACAGGCAAAGCAATTTTAATCCTTAAAAAGATTATATTGATCACTATATAGTATAATAGTAGCAGAGTATAACCTTACTTCTTTCATCCTTTTAATTTTCTCATACGTATTAACTCCATTCGGTCAAATCACAACAAAGATTTGACACGTGCTATTATGAGGACGGAAAACAGGCTTTGACTGAAAACGTTACTGCTGACATAAATACCGCATTGGTAAATAATCATTCAATATGCTTGGCCAGTGTTGTCGGGATATTGTTGGATTCTGTATTTCATATGCAAAGTAGCATTGATTTCATTCAAATTAAACATCCAAACTATGTTTCATATGGTAATCATTTTGTGAAATTTTGCTACGGTCGATCAAGCAAAGTGACAAGCTGTTATTGGAATGATAGTAAAACATTTTTTTTGAAAATTTCTTGCATTCCACAGTTGACAAATTTATCATTATTACTCATTTCAAATGAAGATAATATCAGTTTGCTCTTTGATCCCTTAAGCAAATTTCATTCAATATTTGTGGGTTTTAGCTTTTCTCTTTTTGAGAAGCACCAATCAAATTAAATCTTTCATAAATAGTTAAATGTAAACAGAAAGGATTCAGCTGAAATCTCAAATGCATTAAATACAAGTTGATTATCATAGAATGGCATAATGTGATTGTTGAGAGATAAGAAAAGAAATCAAGATTTGTCATTTTCTGAAAGACCCCACTGCAGTAAGCCCACGATCATTGAATTAAATCTGCCAAGGGTCCAACGGCAACATGTTGACTCCAGCCTCCTGGCATTGCAAGGATGCTAAATGAGTAACTCACTTTAGCCAAACAAATAGTAACAGTTGTATAATGAGCCATGTACCTTTCTGAAGAAATTTCCCATTGGACCTAGAATTGAGACATGGGTTACTGCATGGTATCCCCACTGATGGTATAGGAACTTAGGTCTAAAAAATTAATTTACCTCCCATATAAATTTGGTACATATTGAATTCATTGTTAGCAATAATTCATTAAAGTTTTCGTCTTGACAGTACAAGTAACCTAAAAATTTGTACACTTGTAAACTGAAGTCATTTCTTGCAATGTTTTTAAGGAATATGGCATATAGACATGATTTAAAACTTGATTAAACAAGTACACTGCAGACCATCTTCTCAAAATGTATTAAAATAAAATTAAGTTCTTGACTGGTTGTCATGTTCAAGGAATAGAACTATAACAACTATTCGTATTTATTTAAAAAAAAAAAAAAGTCACATAAAACACTGGTTGGCATCACATATGCAGCAGAAGTAACAGCTGTTTTTAAGTTTTATCACTTACATTAAAGGTGAAGAAAATAAGGATGCCTGCTTCAAAATGCCTGTAATATGCTTTCATGGAAAAAGAAACTCAGATTTCTGGAAATCCATAACCACGACGAATATTTAGTCTACTTTCTTTTTTGCGTTTCCTAGACATAAGGTAGACAACTCTTGATAAAATAGAAAAGTAGATCGTACCTGGACTTATTCTGCAAGGCGTTTGTCAGAAGGTCTCGGGTTAGCTTTCCATCACGTTACACACTGATCATTTCTACAAGCATGATTAGAGCGCTGTTTCAAACCCCTCCTACATTATTAATTGTTCCCGGCTTTCAAACATTGAAAATCAAAGTAAGAAATCAAAGATTCAGGATAAAGGTTTTGTCATGTTAGTCCGTCTGTCTGTCTGTCTGTTGATATGTTAATTGTCTGCAAAAACTAAATTAACCTCATGCAATATGCCAATTAATATTAATAACTTTTGCTTGATTGATTGTATGTTAATTGTTTTAGGTTAATTCCTGTTAATATTAAGAATTTTTCATTCATACATAGAGTTGTCATGTACCATATACTGGTGAAGGGCTTCAAACAGTCATTGGCATTGAGCAGTGCATGATGTTGAGGGATCCTTTATCGTGCCAGTTTAACTCCTGCAAGTGACATATGGGCCGGACATTGGTTTTTAATCTGAAGGACCCGCAACATTCACTTCAAAAGCAGAGCAGCTAGATAGTGAAGTAACAAATTGATATTGCATCGTACATGTCAAATTGATTAATATATTTTCCAATGATAAAAAATATCATGATCTGAGTTGTGTCAACATTAATTGAGCATACATACAGTAATATGTCAATCAAACATATATAATACCAAAACTTTTCCTCTGCTTTAAAGGGCTTGGAACCTTCTGCTTGAAGAAACATGCAAATATCCTAATTAAGGTAACCAACATGTTACTTCAAGCAGGCAGCATTAAAAGTTTTTTGTCTTTTTTTGGTTTGCTCCTTTAAAATTTATATTTACAGTTGAACTTTGGTATCTCAAATAGATGGTTTTCCTTTGACATTTTGCCTAGAAGTTATTCTGCTTAGCCGCCATCCTGTAGGGCAGAGCAGTGAATTTTCCTCTTTGAGCAACCAAGTGGCCATGGGGAATAACTCTTGCTTAAATTATCTCAGTGGAAATTTGGAAAACCATATTCTATACCATGGATATGTCGAAGTGATTTGGAATTCCCAACCACATATTCTTTAAGTATTAAAAATTTTAACCTTTGAGATCGAATCTTCAGATATCTCGAAGTTTTTTCTCAGTCCCATCAGGTTCGAGATAACGAAGTTTGACTGTATGTATATATATACATAATCACAATTTAACATGTTCATGCAAATCCACACCTTCAAATGCAAATCTTGATTTACATGAAAATTTATCAATTATAGTACTTGGAATTCATATTTACTATAGTCACATCAGTATATAAATAAATACATTTAAGGTCAAGATCTAGTAAATGATTTCTGATTACATCTCATGACGTTATGATCTTTGTGACGTCATTGCTGTTTCCCGCAAAAATTGATTGCCAAATTATCGGGAAATTCTATATCTCCGAAAAATTACGTCACATTTACATTCGTGACGTAAAAATCATGGTGCTTTATTAAAATATGGATTCTAAAATTGTTCGCGACAAAAAGGGTCGATTTACATCGACAGGAAAATTTCAAAGATATGAAAAATTTATCGAAAAATTTAGAATTCCTAGTTTTGAGAATGAAGAGGAGATTTGTGACGACTGGGGAGACGGGCGAAGAATAGTGGAACTGAAATATCTATCAGAGCAGTTAAAATCATGCCCGAACTGTTCAACGCCACTTCATCTTCATTTTTGCAAGAAAGAACGCATGTACGGTTTGGGGAGTATTTTGTACATTGAATGCGAGATGTGTAAAAATGAAGTTAAGATATATACTGGAAAGCAACATCGATCAAATGGCACCGTCAAGGGAATGAAAATATGGGACGTAAATACAAAGTGTGGCCTAGGTTTGTACAATTAAAAAAAAGTATTGATATCTTATTTGAAATTTGATTAATAAGATATCTCTATTGTGTCAAGAAGGATAAATTTTTTTAAAAAAGCAAATTATTTATTACATTTAATGTTTGAGATGAATACCCGTATAGTAAACTTGATAAATAATACTAGAATTAAAAAAAATGAAATTAATTTAAAAACATTTTAGCTATGGATCATGCTGGACTAGGACCTTATCAAGTTTCAAATTTTCTAACCGCTCTAAATTTGCCTTCCATTCACCCAAGCACGTTGCGGGCTAGAGAAAATGAGATTGGCGCAACACTGCGAAATTATACACAGGAATCGTGCGATGAAGCTTTATTAAAGGAAGCAAACTTGACATCGTATGTACATGTATTCATTGGAATAAAATGATTAATATGGAGTTCTAATTTTTATATAAAGATATAAAATGATTTAGTTCTTTCGTTTATTATAAAATAAAAATGGAGAAAAAATAGTTTAGGCAACTGAACATCCCCCCCACTTTTTTTTTTTTTTTTTTAGAAGAAATTGATTTTTATAAAAATTGGATGAAATAAAATTGTACAGAAACTCACAATTTAAATTTTAGTAAGTCAGGAGAAGATCATGAAGATGAGGACGATACAAGTCCGATAAATATTTCCTTCGATGCTGCGTGGCAGAAACGTGGAAGCGGAAGGTCGTACAATAGTCATTCAGGTACTTACTAATTAGATTTCAGATTTAAAACCTCCCAAAAATTATCAAATAAACACCTAAGGACAATTTCAATTAAAATATTTCATTTATATATTTTTATTGATTTTTTTTTTTTGGCATTGAAGCAACTGCTACGATGATCGGTATGGAAACAGGTAAAATCGTCGCATTTGACCTCAAAACCACGGACTGCAGAAAATGTTTATTTACCCAAACTGATGATCATGATTGCAATAAAAATTTCAACGGCAGCTCAAAAGCAATGGAATCTGCATTAGCTATTGATATGGCTCAATCTTTGAAAGACAAAGGTTTTAACATTTCGAAAATTACTATGGATGACGATTCAACTACAATTTCAAGGATGAAAAAAACTGTAGATCCTAATATAGCAAAAATAAGTGACAAAAATCATGTTCGCAAAAATATTTCAAATGCGCTTTATAAACTTCAAGAAAAGCACAAATCGTTATCTACAAAAACGATCAATTATTTGCTCAAAGATGTTTCATACGCAATTTCCCAAAATAAAGGTAATCCAGAGGGTTTGCAGAGTAACATCAGAGCAATTATTCCACATTCCTTTGGCGATCACTCCCTTTGCGACTCTCATTGGTGTGGATACTTAAAAGACTCATCAAATTATAAACACAGATCTTTGCCCTATGGAAAAGATCTCGTAGGTGATGACTTGAAGAGAGACTTACAAGAAATGTTTTGCCATTATTCAGAAAATTCTCAGAAAATGGCAAACTTGGGCAGCACTCAAGCTAACGAATCTATGAATTTTCTTATAAGTACTAAGGCCCCAAAAGCTAAACATTTTGGTGGGTCTTCTTCTCTCGGACACAGACTGGCAGCAGCAGTATCACAGAAAAACTGCGGTCGAAAATACATCAGTCAGGTACAGAAGTGCTTGCCCCTTGGGTTGTTAAGTTTATTTAAAAAAATGAATTATTAATTGTAATATTTTAAGTTTTAAAAATTTTATAAAACTCGAAAAGAAGAAAAATAATTACTTCCGTATCCAAATTACAAAAACATTTGATATTGTATTATTATTTATTTTATTAGCATAAAATTCATAATATACAAAAGCATGAAATACCTCTTAAAATAGGTTCATAATCGTCACGGCTTATCGCCCGGGAACTTCACAATCAGGCACAACGATAAAATGGATAAGAAAAGAAAGGCAGAAAAAAATCGAGAACAAACAAAGGGCGCAAAGAGACGCCGACTGGTAAAAAAATCTGTCCAAGCGAAATGTACAAAAACCAAAGAAATACGGGAGGGTGTACAATATTCAACATCGGTAGACCTAGTTGCAGATACATGTACCGATTCAATACAGACAATTCCTGACAAGATGGAACCACCAACTCAAACATGCATTGGCTTAGAATCTGCCAAGAATTCGGAAGTGGTGGTTTTTGATCTGGAGACCACAGGATTCGGTAAAGCTGTATACATGAATTAAATATAATTACACCCCCCCCCCAACACACACACAAATCTCTAAGAAATTATATGCTCGCCCCTCTTAAGTCGTTGCCTCGTTTTTATTTATTTATTTACTCATTTTTTTTGGTATGTCGGCAAGTATATTATTTCATGAATTCAATATGAAAAGAAGACATTGCACATTGGTATATCGATTTCAAATCTCCGTTTATTTTTAGAGTTGTCTCCCGTTTGTCTTAAATGTGTCTTTATTAAATGTGGAAAATTCAGGAAAACCGCGAGAAAAGCAGTTGGGGGATATGAGTTTTTAGGGGAAACGAGCAAAAAAAAAACAGTATAATTATTTTACATTCAACAAAGCATTATAAAAATTTACGGGATGTTTTTGCGTTTAACAGGAAAACTTTAAACAGATTGCTATGGCGAACATAATTTCGGTTTATTTGATACTTACAGACCAGCTTTTTTTTTTTTTAAAAAAGAACCAATGTCAATTTAATATAGCAAATCCAAATTTAAACTTTTTACGATTTTACTTCCATAAATCATTTACATTGTGACAAATGATTTCAGGTGTGAGCACATGTATTTTGTAGAGAAGAATTTGTAAATATTGAGAGAATAGATGCAAATTATATTCCATATTGAAGTAAAATTATTGTAAGAATTTTATATAAAAATGAAACGTTTTTATTTCAAAATTTAAAAAAATGCCCATCCGCCTCGAATTAATTTTTGTAGCAATTTAGGAAGAGAATCTAAAGTTTGAATTGATCTGGCCTTACTGTTTGGTTAAGCTTCTTCTTCACAGTCAAGGACTACTACCCCCTCCCCTTTTATATTGTATTTTGGAAATATTTTGGAAATCTAGTGACAATATATTTCAAAATTATATGTACTTTTTTTTCAGGATATGATTCAGAGATCACCCAAATATCCGCAGTACATGGAGAAAGACAGTTTAATAAATACATTTTACCACAGAAACAAATTTCTGTCGCTGCGTCAAAGGTCACTAAAATTGTAAAACACGGAAAAAATCTGTATTACGATGGAGAAATCGTAGATACAGACAATTTAGAGGACACTTTATCTGAATTTTTACAGTGGTTACCCGAAAAATCCTTGCTCTTTGCGCACAACGGAAAAAATTTTGATTCGAAAGTTTTGATGCAAACTTTGTTTTCAATGAAGGATTATCAAACTTCTATGATCTGTTTGAGGGAAAGGGTTGTTGGATTTGTAGATACCCTCCCATACTTCAGAAAAAAATATCCCGAATATGAAAATCATACCCAACAGAGCCTATCCAAGATAATTCTACAGAGAGACTACGATGCACACAACGCTTTGAGTGATGTACTTGTTCTCCAGGAGCTCATATGTAATGAAAACACACCACTCGAGCAATTCCTATCATTTTCTTTCCCGTTATCGTATGTGGAGGAAAGTTTAACATACTTTCATAGGAAGAAACAATGCTTGGCGACGTTATCACCATTATCCAGTGTAACAAGCAAATCAATGCAAGAAAAAATCGCTGGGTCAGGGTTGACTCTTGAGGATTTGATCAAAGCAAATAAACGTGGGGGATCAGATGGAGTCGCGTTGCTCCTCTCGGAAAAAGGACAGAACGGAAAACCCAGAGTTACTAATAGAATTCAAATATTAGAAAAGATTACGCAAAAAATAAATTTGTTGTCAGCCAAATGAATATATATATGAAAACTTCTACAAAGTGTTCTCGTTTTTTAATTAAAAAATGCAAACATTTAAATCGTAATCGGTAATGAACTTCATTTTAAACGTACATGTACGGTATCTGTGCATTGACGTAACGTCAAATTATAACTATACGCGGCGTAAATCTTGACGTCGAAAATACGTTGTGAATTGAGGCGTTTTGAACAGTTTTAAACATAGATATCTCAAAAAGTAACCCGGATACCTATGTTGAGTTTAACCTTGAAATAAAGTAAATTGATAAGTCTTCATTGTGTTCGTTTTTTGGAAAGTTGTAGGCTTTCTGGAATTGTTTAATTCAGACAAGAATGAAAAAACTTATGTTTTAGAAATGAATTTCTTACGTTATTTATAGACCAAATGTGATATAATGGCCATCGCTTGATGGCGATTTTCTAAAAAACGAGACCCGATTGACCCTTTTTGATTTTAATCAGTCTATAGAGGGAACAATAATGTATCTATACGCAAAGTTTTAAAAATCTGTAGGCACCTGCCATTTACTAGATCTTGACCTATGTTAATAATCAGAATCAATTAATGATACAAATTAATATTACATACTGGTACAGTAGCTGATCATGACAGAATTTGTATATTCCAGAATACATGTACCACTTTATTATTAAACAATTATTACATCTGCAGTATATATAATTTATTAGGTCACCTGAGGTGACCTATTACTATTCGTATTCGTCCGCCGTCTTGCGTTGTGCGTTAACATTTGAACATTTTCAGCTTCTTCTCTGCAACCACTGAACCAATTTCAACCAAATTTGGCACAAAGCATTCATGGGTGAAGGGGAACAAAAATTATGAATTTCATGGTCCCTGCCCCCCTTGGGCCTGAGGGGTGGGGCCAAAACCATTAAAATAAATGCAATCTTTAAAAATCTTCTTCTTTACTCCTGGACACCAAGTAGTCAAACTGTTTGCATGATTGTAATCAACATTGAGTCCTCTACTAAAATTATGAAATTCATGGCCCTGGGGTCAGGGGTTCTAGTGCTAGGGCGGGGCTAAATAAGTATATAGTGAAAATGCATTATTTCTTTCAAAATCTTCTTCTCTGCTCCTGGGTTTTAAATAAACCAACTAAGTACATAGTTATAATGAGCAAGAGTGCCTCTACCAAAATTATGAATTTTATGGCCCCAGGGTCAGGGGCTGGTGTTAGTGCGGGGCTCTATTGATTATATAGTGAAAATACATGAATTCTTTGAAAATCTTCTTCTCTGCTCCTGGGTAATAAATAGACTAACTAAGTGCATAGTTATGATAAGCATGAGTGCCTCTACCAAAATTGTGAATTTTATGGCCCCAGGGTCAGGGGCTGGTGTTAGGGCGGGGCTCTATTGATTATATAGTGAAAATACATGAATTCTTTGAAAATCTTCTTCTCTGCTCCTAGGTATTAAATAAACTAACTAAGTGCATAGTTATGATGAGCAAGAGTGCCTCTTCCAAAATTATGAATTTTATGGCCCCAGGGTCAGGGTCTCTGGTGTTAGGGTGGGGCTCTATTGATTATATAGTGAAAATACATGAATTCTTAGAAAATCTTCTTCTCTGCTCCTGGGTATTAAGCAGATGAACTACCAATATAGTTATGAGCAAGGACCCTAATCTTCCAGAATTGTGAATTTCAAGGCCCCAGGGTCAGGGGTACCATAGAGGGGGGCTGTACTTATATACTGAAAATGAATGAATTGTTTGAAGTCTTGGTATTAATCAAATATTTTTGAAAAGCAAGGATGCCTTTTCAAAAATTGTGCAATGTGTGGATCTAGGCCTAAGGGTCAGGGGTTCATGTGTGATAGGGGCACTACTAATTATTGCTGAATATTACTGATTAGTTGAAATGCATTTTTTGTTCCCCTACCCTGCCTATGGGTATTAAGTGACCAAACTAATCAACTTCTTAATGTATAGTTATGATGATCAATGGTACCTCTTTCAAAATGCTATAGTATCTGGCTTAAAACATGAATCAAATTTAATCACTGGAAAGTTGTTGCATAATGCTCAGGTGACCTATAAGGCCCATGGGCCTCTTGTTTTAAAAGGATTTAATTATTTTAAAAAGACAAAGCAGCCTCCAACTAGTCCCTTTTAGAAACCCATGTGTCTGAGTGGTCAACCCCAAACCCTCTTATAACTAAGACACCCTGCTCTAAAAAAAAATGTTTTGGATGTGTGCTTCATAGATCTGGCTTTCTGCATTTTCATCTTTCTTTGTCTTTCTCCACATATGATCACAAGGATAGTGCCTATACTTTTATTTTCTATCAATGAATGAGAAAGGTTATAATTAAACAATAAGACCAATAAAGTAAAATGAATGAAGAACAGTTTCACAGAAAAGCATACCTACAGGTAACTTGTTTCCAGACCTGAGACCTGAGAGCTCCATCAAAGCCGAAGCACACCATCATGACTTCATCCTAGTCTCCAACTGGGTACACTATCACCAAATCATCAAAGCACATATACTATAAACAGAAGTTAACATACTTCAGCATCTGTGCAAGTATAGAAAAAAAAATAAAATAAGAACCGTTGTATCTGAAATATTAAATAGCTCTAAGAGGATATTTTTTTTGCTGAGGATCATTGATTATATTAGATACCTGATCAGTGACACTTATCCATTGTGGCAAGTCTTGCTGTTGGTAAGGACAATGTCCAATAGTCTGGTCTTCTCCACTTGTTTCCTTCAATTTCTCCCTAATTGTGGCTATACTAATTTCCACATCTTGGAGAGTCAACAACATCAATCTTGTCATTTCCAGGTTTTCAATTCATGTCTAGCTGTAGCTGCTCGTTTCCAAAATTTAGAGGGTCATCATTAATCTGACAGTCATGTTTTCCAGTTAATTCCTCCAATTCCTGTTTGGTTGTGACTGCCTATTCCTGTATCACAGGTCAATGTCTATTAGTCTTGCCATTTTCCAGGTTTTTCCACCAATTTTTATGTGATTGTAGCTGCCCATTTCTACATATTGGTGTCCAAAACCCATCATCTTTGCATTTTAAACCAGTTGTTTCTACCAATTCCTGTTAAACTACAAATTATCTTTTTTGCAATGTTGAATAAAAACTTCATCATCACTATGCATCCTTTGAAGTGTCTTCTTCAACCTGTCGTATGCAAAAGTCATTTTTCAAACATTGCCATTTATTTTACTGACAGCGTTAAAAAAGAGTGCAAATTGACATCCTCACAGTGCCAGGGCGTCCTGATTCAGTTGCTGTTGAACCCCTGGCAAT